TTAATTTTGAGAGAAAAAAAAACAGAAATTCAAGATATTGATAAGTATTTAAAGATATTAACACCATAATATAATTTTAAACATTAAAACTCAATTAAATAAAATTATATTAAAAGATAATTAAATACTTGAATATTAGAACTAAAGCATTATTTAAATCTAATACAATAATATCACATGTGCATTTTAATTTTTTAATCAAAATTCTCTAAATAATATCAATGTTAATTTAAAAGAAAAAATCACATTAAGTTTTTCTTATTATAAAAAATCAATTAAATAAAAAGTAAATGTAAAAAAAATTAAATAATGATTAGAAATTAAATACAAAATTTTGATAAAAACAAAATTGTTAAATATTGTTTATTAACTTGTAAATAAAAAAGCTTCGTAATCATTAGACTCTACATATCTGCTTCCATGCGTAGGGTCGTACACCACTGAGTGGCAGTACTGAGCACAGTGTGCAGTCATGCAGACACGACAAGCTGCTGCTAATTCTCAGCATAAATAAACCCTTTCATTCATTTTCCCCAATTTCTTCCCTCACACGTTTCCAAACATGGCCAGAGTCATAAGCCACACGCACGTTTCCGGGCACGACTTCTACACCATCGACGTTGACGGAGACCCTGTCAAGGTCACTGTCACATCCACCGCCTCTGTCGTGCGCCGTTGGATCACCTCCATTGTCAACCAACATCGCCGCCACGTTTACCTGCGGCGCCTTGTTGTCGGCCTCGGAGTCCAGTGGTCTCCCGGCGGTTCAGATCCTCCGGCGGATACGTTGCAGCTCTGCGTTGGTCGTCGCTGCCTCATCTTCCAACTCGCTCACGCCGACCGCGTGCCGAGGAACCTCCGCACGTTCCTGAATCATAGGTCTCACACCTTCGTCGGATTCTGGAACCATTCGGACCGCCGGAAGCTGGAGAATTCGGAGCACTGTTTGGATATGTGTCGCGATCCTCTGGATCTGAGGTATTTTGCGGAAACTGAGAACGATGACTATCTCGTTCAAGATTCGGTGGAGGAGATAGTGGAGAAATGCCTTGGTTACATAGTGGAGCAGAGGAGGGAGATCAGCATGAGCAATTGGTATAGAAAACATCTTAGCAACGAGCAAATTGCTTATGCTACCGTTGATGCCTACTGTGCGTTCCTCGTTGGAAGAAACAGCAGAGTGTGGAACGTGGAAGCCCGTTAGGTATTAGGTAACTCATGCTACTTTCTTACTATAGCACGAATGCTTCTGGTTCATTTCTTACTTTACTCATTTCACAGTATTATGGTGTTTCCTTATTTTGGATATGTTAGCATGAGAGGGTTTATTTCTCCATTTTAGGCATGTATATTGCGTTCACTACTTTCGAACGGCATTCGGTTTGATGCTTTTTTCTCATTGGAATCGCTGAATTTTTACTAAATAGGTAGGACTTCTGATCATACGACTGCTTTTATTACCATGGCTGAAGAAGAAAGGAAATTTGAAATTTGATTTGTACAGAAAATAAGTAAGAGTTTTTTTTTTTAATTTCAATCTTCTTTTTTTATACTACTTTATTTTTTCTGCAATCTAATAAATATATATTTTACCACCGTCCCTCATTACAAGATATTATCATATATACATCTTCTAAAAGAAAATCTTTCTTTAAAAATATTCTAACCAAAATGTAGGATTCTTTGCTTTCATTATTGATTTCGAATACTAAAACGGTTCATTTTTCAAGGGCTTTCTTTATGTTATTACTTGATCAACTAAGTATATAGAAAAGAAAGCTTGCTCAAGTAGGAACTATAGACATTTAAGAGAACATTATTACAAAAGAAAGAAACTCCGCATTTTCAAATAATAAAGACAGTATGTATGTGTTGGGGGTCGGGAAAATTAATTTTGAAGAGATGTAATTCATGTTTACATTTTTTATTTCAAAATAAATTTTACAACAACACTAAATGACTGTTTGTTTTGAATTAATTTGAAAAACATGCATGCTACTACATTTTGTACCTCAACTTCGAAAAATATCATAAGCTAACCTTTTATACATAATTTTGGATGAGCAACTAAAAAGATTATATTTTTTAAGTAATGTGTTTTTGGGTGAAAGACCTACCATAATTTATATTTAGACATAGTTAAAAAAAAGCATGAAACAAAGTAACCTTTTGTTTACCACCTTTATTTAAAGTGTGTATTAATTAAATAAAAACAATTTAATGTATATTATTGTTTTCATTAATTTTTTAAGTAATCATTTGTAAAGTTCTATTAAAATGTTAACCTAGCTAAACATTCCATAATCTTGACTTGCATCATCTCACATAAAGAAACACTATAGTCCTTTTTACACGAGACGCTAAGACTAATCCATATTCCGAATCCATGTTCACGACAGACGTTAAGACTGATCTCGTTAACAAGAACTAAGATCCAAACACTATTTTCGTTTATTTTATTCTGTTTGTATCTTTCACTATATTATAACAAGGTAGGCACGATTCTTGATCAACTATGTAACATGATAGTTTCAAAAAAAATTGAACCAAAAAATTGAAATTTCCTTATTAAATAATGGATTTGGTTCATATGAAGCAACTGAAAATCCGATTAACTTGTCTTAGGTCTCACGTTTTTTAATGCTTTCCCTTTTCTTACTAATTATCAGTCGTTACTTCCCACATTTCTTATAAAGCTCATTACATGACATGTGTTCAAACATTATGTTTTAAAATTTACAATCACTTCTACCACTCTTAAATTTATTTATGGTAGATATAATTATATATCTTACATTATAAATAGTATCAGTTTTTATGTTAGATTTAAACTATTATTTTATTTAATAAACATAAATATTCATATTCATTTGTCTTGTGTTTTCCGTGGTCATATATATATATATATATATATATATATATATATAAAATTTAAATTATTTGAAATTATTAAATACCAACAAAACATATATGATCGATTATATAAAATACGTCACTGATTACGATAATTTCATTTCCTAATCAGTATTCAATTCCATTATTAAGAACGTATGTATTGAAATGCTTAAAAGAATTACAGTAGAATAAGATTGAAAACTACAACAAAAACATGTTAAGAGATATTCTCTTTTAAAGTTTTTTTTTTTTTTTAGATTGTGTTTAGATTGAGGAGTGAAATTGAGTGTGAAAAAAAAAACTAAAGAAAGGGAAAAAAGAGAGCAAAAGGTGCAAGCTGAAAAACTGTAAGTTATATTGTTGTGATAAAATTAAAAAAGAGAGTTATAAAGTGATATATTATTATGTGATTAAAATATCTTTCTGTTATAAATTAATTTTAGTTAAAGATTAAATTATAATTATATTAATTTATTTTGTATGAATTTATTTTAATTACAACCACTTTTAATTATACTATTTTATGATTTTATTTATTTTTAATACAAATATTTATTATTTTGGATCTTGTTGTAATATCTCATTTAATAGTGTAAAACTAATAAATAAAACATTACAAATGTGATAATTGATAAAAGTTAAAATAACACATGACTACATTATTAAATCATCCAAAATAATCATGCTAGTATATATAAATTCTCTTACATCAAGACCTTAAGGATTTGAAAACGAGTATTAGTTTTCCAAAAGGTTAAAAAAAAAACGTAGTTTCTATAGTCATACATCTACATAATTACATCATATTCTTTCTAAGTAGCTCAACCCCTACATCCTCATCTACTCAAACCAATGAATGATGATTATTGCACAAGAAAAATGCACAACCTACAAAAAGCACAAACATATACGAGGGTAAACCAGTTTTAAAAGAAATATTATACATTAATAAATAAAGTTGTATTACAATACAATGCACTAAGTTAAGTCATATCATAATTGCAATTCAACCTAAACTAACCACAAAACATTCATAAAACATACATTTCACAAACAAGGTAAAATTATACTAAATTATCCATATACAATGCATTGACGCCAAATTCATTAGAGATATGTGCTTGTGGTGACCTCTATTACTCTACAAAGTCATTGTCAATGTGTTTTGCTTTATTATTCACAAGATTAGTTTCGTTCGTGTCTTAGGCCATTATTATGTCTTTATATTATGACTTGTCACTCCTCTCACAACATAACTTATTCTACTTTATATGAGTGTGAATACTTATTAGAGTGCCAAGATATCTCCTTGTTTGAATCTATACATTAATGCATGCACTAATGAAACATACATCAAAAGGATTTACTCTATGAAATCCATTACATTCTCATCTATTCATAACTCATCATCATACACACTTTACATTCCATATCATACATTTTCAAGTGTATTGCACAAATTTAACAACACATATACAAATGGTTTGAGATTTTAAAAAAATAAAATTGCAGCTTCAAAAAAACTTAGAAAATTATATTTTTAAATTCAAATTAAAGATAATTAAATCAAGAACGTAATGCAAAAAGAACCAACCTAATTAGATAACTGTGAAAAATGTTATGCACTAAGTAACAAAGGTAAAAATGTTAACGATCTAAATTACTATAAACTTATGTTTGAAGAGAATATGGACTCCAAAGACAACTTATGTTTGAAGAGAATATAGAATTTATGTAAGTTAGCAAGGAAATGGAGATTGAGAGTAGAGTGTTTTTTATAAAGAAAAGGAAGAACTCCCTTTTGTTGCGTAATGTGCTCCTAAGGAGGGCATTTAAATGATTTCACACTTCTTATTATTATTATTTTGACATTTATTTATTATTACTTATAATTTTATGATTTTACTATTAGTATTATTAATCTATTGTATTATTTAACATGATAACCAATTTTTATAATTAATATATTATGGAGTGAAGGTTTGAGTAGAAAAAGAATAAGCATGAGAATATAATGAAAGAATGTCATATAATTACATTCTTTCATTTTTTTTTTCTTTTTGCATAGAACTGTGCATGTATTATTTTCCTATCCGGGCCTTTATCAAGCCCTATATAATTGAAATAAGGTCACTTACAAACCTCCGCTCACTGGAGCCAAAACAGTATAGCAGAAGCACTGAAATATAAACCATGGCTATACTCCTTTCCAAAACACACTGCACAACTCACCAATTCTACTCCCTTTTCCTCGGCGGCCGTTACTTCAACGCCACCGTCACCGCCAGCGCTTCCATCGTAAAGCGCTGGCTAGACTCCACGCTCTACTTCAGCCGCAAATACGTCTACCGTAACTGCCTTGTCGTCGGCCTCGGCGTTCATTGGACTCCTGGCCCCGACGACCCGCCGGCGGAAACGCTGCAACTCTGCGTCGGCAGCCGGTGCCTCATCTTCCAACTGGAGCACGCCAACCGCGTACCGAGTAACCTCCGCACCTTGTTGAACAATCCTAACCACACTTTCGTCGGATTCTGGAACCAGTCTGACCGGCGGAAGCTCAAGCTTTCGAAGTTTGAGTTGGAGATGCACAGCGATCCTCTAGATCTGAGGCTGTTCTTCCCGAACCTTACACAGGCTTCGGTTGAAGAGATCGTGATGATGTGTCTCGGTTACGAAGTATCCCAACGGAGGGAGAATAGCTGGAGCATGTGGTATGATTTTGTTCTCAGTGACAAACAAGTTACTTACGCCGCAGTTGACGTTTACTGTGCGTTCCTCATCGCTAGGAATTTCAAAGTCCGGAATTTCAATTAATGTCAACAACAATAATACTTCATTACAGGTAACTAACTTTTTTTTCATTAATTTCTTAACTAGTGATACATCGATTGCAGGCAGCGTATTGTAGTTTAATTCATGCATGCTTTTGAAATTTTCCGGTTAAACACAGTGATGAAGGTAGAAGTGGTTAAGTTCTCGGAGACTGCAGTAAATCTGGCAGCGTTTTTTCAGATTTCACTCACGGCGTCTTTGTTCACAACGATTGGAAACTCCTGTGTAGATTTGTAATGAAAGTGGGAAAATCAATGTGCAAAAGCACGAAAACAATGTATTTTCTTTTTTTGAAAAACTCTGTAAGATGCTAATAAAGTCGTGAAATTCAACACAATACAGACATAATTGATTAAAATAATCAAATAATCGATATCATAAAAACAAGTTAAAATTAATTAATTTAAATCTTGATAATTTATTTTAACATATTTTAAGTAAATTTACATTTTTCAAAAAATATTAAATTAGAATATTTTTTAAAAAATATTTTATTAACTATTATTTAAATATAATAATTTATTAATTAAATTATTTACAAATGTTCATTTATTTTATTTGTTTACACTTCTCGCTATCTCTTACCAACGAGTTTTTATAGACTAAATAAATTTGTCTATAAATTTAAAATTGTTGACACATTTTACCTACAAATTTTTTAAAATAAATTAAATGTGATAAAATTTAATTTTTCTTTAAAAAAATTGATATATTTTCCTGAAAAAAAATGTGAAATAAATGAAATAAAGTTTCCAAGGAACAAGTTAAAATATAAAAGTATCAAGGTAACAAATAAATTAAACTAGGAAAATTTAAAAATATGGAAATCAAAATTATTTAAATGACATGTTCCACCAACAAAATTACTTTTTGCAAAAATTCTTTCCAAAAAAAATGCAAAATCATAATAAGACCCTTTCAATCCAATCATAGGACCAAATACAGAGAATCATCTCCAGTTGCTCCGTTCACAAATGGACATTTTCTCAAAAAAGACATATATAATACTTAATGCGTATTAAGTAAAACAATAAACTAACACTTCTTTATTTGAAATAAATAAAAAAATGTTAAATATTTTATGTTAAGTTATCTTAAGAGTTTCTAATTTATAAAATATATATTATTTTAGCTGACTTTTAACCTATAGTTTACTTAATTGACCATCTTTTATATTTTAATACATTTTTATTATCAATTTTTCAACATTTTAAATTACAAAAACATTAACAATACAAATTAAATTAACATGTATTTAATTATGGGACACTGACTTAAAATTAAGAATAATAAAATTTATAAAAAATAAATTTAGTTTATCAGTAGTTTAATTTAATAAATAAATAAAATACTTTTGTGAAAACAAAAATTAACTAAAACTTTTCCAGTAAACTCATTAAAAATAAATTAAATCGATTAAATAAAAACATAAAGAAATTTTATATAAACATATTTTTTATATATTTTCAGTTTTAATTTCAATATTTTTATTACATATATGTTTTTATCATAGTCTTTTGATAACTATTAGAGTTTAATTTAATTTCGGTGTTTTTGTTATAATTTTATACCATATATATATATATATATATATATATATATATATATATATATATATATATATATATTTGAACTCTTTTTTCAGTTAGAATATTTTAGTAAATTTTGTTTAGTAAAGTGTATCGGGTTTAGTAGACAAAAATATCTTCATATATCATGGATTCTAAATTTTAAGGTCAAAGGTATTTGAATAATTTTCATTCTCAAAAAATAAAAAAATAAAAAACTCTCAAACTCTTACTTACCTTTCTCTCATCCCTTTAATTCTTTCTCTTTCATCTCTCTTACTCCAACCTTCTTTCATTCTATAGTAATTCCAACCGAAAAAAAATAGAAAACACCCACCTAACCCTAATTGAATAAACGAGGAGGAATGTGGATTAAGGTTAGGCGAATGTTTCTGATTTTGTAAATTGGGGCTACTGTAGGATGTCAGAGAAAAGATTAGAGTCAGAGATGAAAAAGAAATGGTTGAGAGAAATGAGGGATAAGAGAGAAGTGAATAAGGGTTTGGAGGTTTTTTGTTTTTTTTTAGTTTTGAGAATGAAATTTATTCAAATATCCTTAACCTTAAAATATTTTTATCTATTAAAATCAGGTACACTTTATTAAAATCAACTGAAAAAAGAGCATAAGTAGATTAGCAAACCATATATATATCTATATATACATCTATCTTATATCTTCTATATATACTATATCTATATTCTATTATATATATACTATATTATATATATATATTATATATTATATTAAAGCATAAAAGGAAAAGACTAATTATCTCTACATTTATATTAAAGCATTCTATCAACTCATCATGAATGAAAATTCAAAATAACCTAGAAAGTAAATAACAAACTACATTGTTTCATATCAACTAGCATGAAACTTATGCGTACGCACCGACTCGTTTTTCTTTTTGTAAATTATTTTATATCTTTTAAGGTTATATAATCAACATGTCTTTGAATAAATAAGCTTTGAATTTAAAGACGTACAAAAAAACAATTTTATATATAAAGTATTTAATTGTATTAATAGGTTCATGAATTTATTTTCAGTAATGGTCGGCTAATTAAATAATTAAAATGAAAAAAAATTGGTATGAGACTCTTTTGTAAATTCGGGTTTTTTTTTCTTTTTCTTTTTGTCAAATTTGATTAATATGTTTATTTCATTTTTATTAATTTGCTACATATTTTTTTAAAATTGTATTTAAAATTTGAAATTATGTAAAATATTTAATTATAATGTTTGAATAAAGTTAACAGTATTAATGTAATAATTAAATAATAAATAAACTTTGATGTATATTACTTAAAAAATAAACATAAACAATAAAAAAAATGAATTAAAATAGAAAATAGAAATATAAGTTAAACATAATCTAATATTTATCAAAATATATAATATAAATAATTATTGAAACTAAACTTTTTTGTCAATTTAAATATAATCCAATAATCGAATCACAAATAAATAAATAAATATTAAAATATAATTAAGTGAAAAAAAGTTAAACATAATCTAATATTAAAATATAAAACAATAATAATTATTATAATTAATCTTTTATAGAATTAAACGCACTTCAATAAATATTAAAAATATATAGTAATTAATCGTATTTTAATAATAATCACAGATTATATATATATATATATATATATATATATATATATATATATATATATCTATATATTATATATATTCTCTCTATATATATATATTATTGTTCACCCTCAACATTGTTTGACCGTCTTTTCTTCCTACCTTTTTTATTCCCCTGACCTTTTCCCCTTTCCATTCGCCCACCATTTTTGTGAAATAATAAATCTCTTTAATGAAACTTTTGAATTATATTTTGTGGAAAACTTATAGAAATGCGACGATGACGCAGAGGTGTAACGAAGGCGGAGAAGAAAGAGAAAGAGGAGAATGATACAAAGGTGTAATCTGATTATGTATTTTTAAATTTTTAGTATTTATAATTTGCATATAACATTTATAAAAGGAACAAAGAACAAATTCAACAATTTTAATATCAAATAATGTAAATTAATAAATCATTACAATGTCATTTGTTCTAAATAAGAAAAATAAACATAATGAAAAATTAATAATACAATGTTTGATGTTAATAATTTATTTATTTTTATTAAGAACACTTTCTTGATAAGATACGTAATATATAAAAATAATGATAATGTATAACTTTCCAAATAATAATATAAAACATATATTAATTTAATTAATTTTTAAAATTTGACTCACTCTTATCCCTATAAAATTGAAGAAAAATATGACAGATAGCCAGAAATATCTGTTCCTGCTGGAGCTATTGGGATGAGTAGATTAATGAGTATTCCAAACCATGACACTTACAAATATCTTAATTAATGGATATGTTTTGATAGGTTCTGTAATGCATGAGCGAGTGAGAAGTTTTAGTCTACCTGTGCTCCAAGTGTTTCAAACTACAATGACTTGCTTTAACAGAAGCCATATGATATATACATATATGAATTATCAATGAAGTTTGGTGTTTGTTTCTCATTGAACTTCACGAGCTCTGATAAAACTATCCCTCCACTCTGATATTAAGCATCAGGAGCTGAGTCTAATGCAAAGGAAAATATGAAACAATGTTACAAAGACAACCGTTTAGTTGGTCTTACAAGGAACATATAAAACCGTTTAGATAAACACTGTAATGGATCAATCTTATTCTACTGAGTTATTCCCTTTTTTTCCTTTTGCCATATAAGATATTTTAAGCACTCTTCCATTTCAGACTTTGCCCTCATTTGGCCATGAACCTCAGCTTTCCGCACACGAAAATATGAGCTTTTAGTTACAGTTTTCCTAACAGTACTAATATAAGTATCACCCTTTCTTCTTCATTTCACTCATAGAACATCCCAAAACAACATAAAGAAACTAGTTAAGAAATTTTATTAACTTCTTGGGTTAATTACTATGCCTAGAAATGGAGGCTTCTTTGTATCTTTCATCTTTCCCTACTATTCCTACGGGTCTTCATCAGAGCAGAAGAAAGGTTCACATATAACGTTAGAGTTCTGAGAGCATTGCTCAAACCTTTTTCTGCTTTCTTATGAAATTTTCATTCTCATTCGACTTCTCCTATTAAACTCTCGAACATGATTTCTCAAAAACTGAGAACCCATAAACGAAAAACCTCATACATCATAACATCATGAGGTTCAAACTTCTGTGATGATGGCTACAATATTATATATAAATATTTATATTAGTTAGCTGTATACACTCTGATATCAGTTTAAGCTTAGATCTATAAACAACTTTTTTTTCTTTGTTCTAATTGGAAGCCGGAAAGTTCTGAATAACTTTTGTCAGCATCACAAATTAACACTAGCCCCAACAACCAATTAATTGACTTCTCAATTAATTGGGTTGTTATTCACAACGGCCATGAGGATTCACTTTGCTATCTTGGCCTTATGCAGTTCTGCAGATTATTAAGCCTAAGAACCAATTAATTATTAAGACACAATATTAAAAGTATTAAAATACATACCTTCTACTGTGTGCTTATGAACTCAAGGAAATCAATTCTCTTAATGTTAATGATTTTAGTCACAATATATATTATCCTTTTTATGTTTCTTAGTTCGACTTATGGCTATATAACCAGGAAGATTGTTG